GTCTGCAAAGGCCTTAATCAAGGAAGCCCTGGCCCTGAGTCTGGAGGACCTGAGCAGGAATGGTGAAGATATAATCTTCAGTCTCCATAACTGACTTTGATCTGCAGAAGCTATCAGGACTGGCAGTCGTGATCCTGCTCACTGTGAGAACTATTTGAGGGCATTGCCAAGGCAATCATGGTGTAATCTCAGGTAATGCCAGGATATGATGGTGAATGGGGGCACAAATGGGTCTATACAAGAATTTTATTGCACAGATAATAAAACCCGCTTGCCTGAGCCAGCTTAAAATTTAAAACAAGTGGCATCCTGATATTAGCTGCTGAACCCACCTCCCAGGTCCAGCCCAGGTCCACCCAGGGGCACTCTGGCAGCCATTTCCTTGAGCCAGAAAACTCAGAGCTTCCAAAAATAGTTGCGGTGAGCACACCTGTGAGCAGGGATGGACTTGGGATGGACCCGGGCAGTAATTTCAGTGGCTAAATCTTTCTGATAACATCAGGATGCTGCCCATTTTAAATGTTAAGCCACATCAGGTAAGCTAATTTTATTATCTGTGTGATAAATACTCAGGGTAGAGGGTCTCTTGCCAGAAGGGAAAGGGATGAAAGCACACCTTTGGTGTTTAGCAGAGAAAGTGCAAAATGAAGGGAAATAAAAGAAGGGAAAGAACCATTAAGAAAGCAGAAGAGTAGTTGTCTCTGAGGAACAAGCCTGAACCAATAAACCATGGATCTCTCCCAAAGCTGGATGGTTGCAGGAGTTCCAACCCAGTTTTCTTGGTGCCTATTCACAGTAAGCAGCTATAGTGTCATTATTCCTCTTTAACTACCATGGGTCCATCCTACAAAGTCCTGATGCTTGCAGTTTGGTGAAACATTGGAGTACTATGGCTAGAACTCTAAATGCCTCCCTCAATAAAACTGTTAAAGCTTGTTACCCATGGAATTCATGGCTTGCTAATATCACTGGTATAGATCACATTCTGATAAATATTACCACCCCTGGAGATCCAATCCTGTCAATACTCACAACCATTTTTTTGGGGGGGGGTGGGGTAGTGGTGGAAGTGTTGTATGAGATAATTCTAATAAAAAGGAGAGCTAGCATGGCATAGTGTTTTGAATGTTGGACAATGACACTGAAGACCAGGGTACAATTCTCACCTTAACCAGGAAATCTACTGTGTGACTTTGTGATGTCACATGCTGTCAGCCTGAGGGGAAGGCAATGACAAACCTCTTCTGAGCAATTCTTGCCAAGAAAACCCAATGATAGGTTCACCTTAGTGTTGCCATAAATCAAAAGTGACTTGAAGGTACACAATGACTATAGACGTTATCACATGGGGAGTCGCGGGGAGAAAGTGGAAATAAACGGGCACGAGCGGAACCCTTTAATTTACGGGATTTGTCCCGTACCGCCTCGTCTGATAACTAAATTCGAATTTAAAAGGGGGTTAATTCGAACGCAAACTTGATCTTTTCATTTTTGGGATTTTTGAGGATTTGAAAAGATCAGGTTTTTGTTCAAATTAACCCCCTTTTAAATTCGGATTTAGTTATCAGTCGAGGCGGAATGAGACAAATCACGTAAATTAAAGTCTTCCACTCGTCCGGTTTATTTCCACTTTCTCCCTGCAATTCCCCGTGTGATAATGTCCTATGATAAAAAGATCACCAACACAGCATGGACATGCATTTGAGTTGCAAGGCAGACTGTGCAGGTTGGCAATTTTGCTGTACACCTTCCAATGGAGGCGTGATACTTACCCACAATCACTTACATTGCCATAATGAATTGGAACTTCCAGCAGCCTAGTCAGCCTAGTCCAGGGGTAGGCAACCTTTCCCCTTTAAGAGCCGAGGGACTTCAGCTCCCAGAAGCCTCAGCCATCTTGGCCAATAGTCCCATGTTGGCCAATGTTAGCTCCTGGGATTCTGGGAGCTGAAGCTCCTGGGATTCTGGGAGCTGAAGTCCCTCGGCCCTTAAAGGGGAAAGGTTGCCTACCCCTGGCCTAGTCAATGGTTAAGTTCTCTTTTGTAGTCATGTTCACTTTTTTCAACAAATCTTAATAGTTTAGAAGTAAAACAAGAGAAAATATGTCAGGAAAACACAAAACTCTCTCTGTTGGTTGAATTTTCTGGAAAAAAGAAAAAATAAAGCCCATGATGGAAAGAGGAAAGAGTGCTAAAGGAGATTAAGCATTAAAGTCTAAGGAAAGACCAAATTACTGTAATTACTGGAGAACTAATGTAAATTAGAGGATGTGGGATGGCAAGACATTGCTTGCATAAGGGACCAGGATAAAATTAAGATTCAGTCTAATTAGGTTAGGACCTTTGCAGACTGCTAGAAATAGTACAAATTGAGTCCACTTTAAGGGTTGGGGTTAGGGAATCATGGGAACTATATTTTATTGTGGCACCAGAGCTCTCTGACAGAGAAGGCTCAATGTCTCAGGGGGAAAAAAAACAATTCCCATGATTTCCTGGCACTAACCCTAACCCTTAAAGTGGACTCAATTTGCACTATTTCTGGCAGTCTGCAAAGGCCTTTAGTGATTTTTTTAAATACTTGATTAGCGATTATTCATATGTGAGGTGGACAAGTGTATGTGCATGGAGATATTCAGAATTCATAACCTTTTCTCCATTGACTTTTTCATTCAGTAAAATTTAAAACCTTTTATCTGAAGTGTAGTGGTCTGTCATGCCTTTCTTCTTTCTTTATCTCATATGCCCATGCTGCATCTGATAACCATTCTCACAATTCTGAAGTACATATCTAAAATCTACTGAGCTTGGAAGCTGAATGAGTGGAGACCATAAGAAAATTAAATGCTTCTACCTAGTAAGAGTGTAAACTGATACAAGGAAGTGAAAGCCAGAAAAGTGTGTGGGCACACCATTTTGCCTGTTTTTTCTCACATTCACAAGACAGGCCGTTGTCAGTCCATCACCAGAATAGACTGTGCCAATGCAAATACTTTCCACCTAGTCTAGAGATGTCACAAAGGAAGATGATTCAAAGTTCCTTAAAACTGTAGTGTAACCTGATGCTACAACTGAAACCTTTGTTTTCTTTTCTTTTTTTTGTTTGTTTGTTGTTGTTGTTTTCCATACAGTCCATACAGATAGTGATTCCTGAAAACCAGGATTTCTGAAAGTGAATGCAGAGGCAGAAGGGTAGCTGGTGTGTGTCTGTGTGAAAGGACCAGTTCTCATTTCTGGAGAATGTATGAAAGATAGAGAACAGAACTTAATGGACTCAAGCGCACAAACCCCTCCATGAGTTCACTATATGTATCCATGTGTTGAAGGTGGGAACAAGACTTAGGTTTTTGAGTTCTTTAAACATTTGACTGAGTGATAAGAATCCTGAAGCGAAGCAAACATGACAATGGTTATAAAAGAAAGTAACCCTACAGTGCATCCTGTTGGGCACTGCCTACTTCAGTATACCGAAATTAGCAAGTGCTGTGAATATTTGAGTAATAAGTGGAGCTGGTAAATCAATTGCTTGATCAAATAAAGCTTTTGTGGATTAATCATTATGACCAATTTTAATCAGTGGAGCTGAAATTAAGCACACTTAGAAGGCTGTGGGCTTTTAAAAACATTTTGATTCTGAGGTATATAGAGAGAAAGAAAAATGATTAAAGTTGGTATTTCTTTTAACAATGAGGGAGACAGCTCAGAGGCAACGACTATAGCCCACATCTCTTTTATCTTTCTTTCTATCTGTCTGTTGCAAAGAGAAGAAAAACAATCCCAACAGAGACAGCAACAGTATCATGATATGACAGTTGATTTGTCCTAACCTTCCCTCCTTCATAGAGCATCTAATGCTTATAGGAGCCGCTGTGGGTAAGGGTGTCCTCTGGTCCTTCAACTGATCAGTTAGGAATTGTTGTTGTTATGTGCCTTCAAGTAATTTATGACTTATGGCAGCCCTA